TAGATTGTAATGAAACAAAACAGAACACCGTCAAGTATCATATGGAAGAGTTGCAGAGATCTTACCTGGAGTCACAAATAGGTGGAATCCTTCTATCCTGACGTCTGCTCCAACATTGATCTCTACAGCACAACAGTACCATTCAGTGTCCTCACTCCCCAGATCAGTCATGGTCACAGTGAAGGTTAGCTGGTTGATGTCATCAGAGATTGAGGCCTTAGCTGTGCCATTAGGAGGATAAGTGCGTACAACAGGAGAGCAACTATTGAAATAATATCCTTTACACCAATATTTCACATGGGTTTTGTATTTCTGATCATAGCGACATGGGATGGTGATGGAGCCTCCTGTCTTCACAGACACACTGTAAGCACCTGTAGACACAACAACAGAAAACACATTCAATTGGAATTCAAGCAAATTCTCACAGCAGAAAAATGGTGTTCCATCTGGACTATAACACACATAATACAGGAAGTGTTATTGATAAGACAAGCTACTGCTCCTGTCTTCAGAGTGTCAGCATGTGTCCAGTCCCAGTCCCTGACCTCAACTTCAGCACTTCATAGATACATGTTAACCCTTTTGTTATTTTTATTGGCCCATCCACCGCCCCAAAATATTGCGTTTTTCCTGTTACATTTACATTCTACACATATCTTATATACATGGCACTTTTGTTACACAGTAGTTACATAACAACATATAGTTATTAGATATACATTATATCTGTATAGATAGTACTTAAACACATCCAGTATACAGTTGTAGGCCCTCTCCTATTCTCGCTATACACCAAGTCACGTGGCTCTGTCATATCCTCACATGGCCTCTCCTATCATTGCTACGCAGAAGACACACAACTAATCTTCTCCTTTCCCCCTTCTGATAACCAGGTGGCGAATCGCATCTCTGCATGTCTGGCAGACATATCAGTGTGGATGACGGAGCACCACCTCAAGCTGAACCTCGGCAAGACGGAGCTGCTCTTCCTTCCGGGGAAGGACTGCCCGTTCCATGATCTCGCCATCACGGTTGACAACTCCGTTGTGTCCTCCTCCCAGAGTGCGAAGAGCCTTGGTGTGACCCTGGCGGCGTAGTGGGTTACTGATGGTAGGCTTTGTTACTTTGGTCCCAGCTCTCTGCAGGTCATTCACTAGGTCCCCCCGTGTGGTTCTGGGATTTTTGCTCACCGCTCTTGTGATCATTTTGACCCCACGGGGTGAGAACTTGCGTGGAGCCCCAGATCGAGGGAGATTATCAGTGGTCTTGTATGTCTTCCATTTCCTAATAATTGCTCCTACAGTTGATTTCTTCAAACCAAGCTGCTTACCTATTGCAGATTCAGTCTTCCCAGCCTGGTGCAGGTCTACAATTTTGTTTCTGGTGTCCTTTGACAGCTCTTTGGTCTTGGCCATAGTGGAGTTTGGAGTGTGACTGTTTGAGGTTGTGGACAGGTGTCTTTTATACTGATAACAAGTTCAAACAGGTGCCATTAATACAGGTAACGAGTGGAGGACAGAGGAGCCTCTTAAAGAAGAAGTTACAGGTCTGTGAGAGCCAGAAATCTTGCATGTTTGTTTGTAGGTGACCAAATACTTATTTTCCACCATAATTTGCAAATAAATTCATTAAAAATCCTACAATGTGATTTTCAGGATTTTTTTTCTCATTTTGTCTGTCATAGTTGACGTGTACCTATGATGAAAATTACAGGCCTCTCTCATCTTTTTAAGTGGGAGAACTTGCACAATTGGTGGCTGACTAAATACTTTTTTCCCCCACTTTATCTCTGTAAACCACCCTCTTATGATTTCATGTGCCATATCTATTGAACAAAAATGTAAACGAAACATGCAATAATTTCAACAATTTTACTGAGTTACAGTTCATATAAGGAAATCAGTCAATTGAAATAAATAAATTAGGCCCTAATCAATTGATTTCACATGACTGGGCAGGGGTGCAGCCATGGGTTGGCCTGGGAGGGCATAGACCCACCCACTTGGGAGCCAAGCCCACCCACTGAGGAGACAGGCCCAGCCAATCAGAATGAGTTTCCACCACAAAACGGCTTTATTAAAGACAGAAATACTCCTCAGTTTCATCAGCTGTCCGGGTGGCTGGTCTCAGATGATCCCGCAGGTGAAGAAGTCGGATGTTGAGGTCCTGGGCTGGCGTGGTTACACGTGGTCTGCGGTTGTGAGGCCGGTTGGACGTACTACTAAATTCTCTAAAATGACGTTGGAGGCGGCTTATGGTAGAGTAATTAACATTCATTTATCTGGCAACAGCTCTGGTGGACATTCCTGCAGTCAGCATGCCAATTGCACACTCCCTCAAAACTTGAGGCATCTGTGGCATTGTGTTGTGTGACAAAACTGCACATTGTAGAGTGGCCTTGTATTGTCCCCAACACAAGGTGCACCTGTGTAATGATCATGCTGTTTAATCAGCTTCTTTATATGCTTATCAGCAGCCTGTTATAATCCTATCAGCAGAGAGACATGTTTCATGTAGTTCTTATTTTATCCTGTTATATTTCTGTAAAAATGAAGAAAGAAGAAGGAAGATACAATTTAACAGCCACTGATGACTGAGAGTAAATATTCCACATCACACTACCCATAAAGGGATACATACGTTTAACTTATAATCGACCCCGACACAGCCAGGGCAAGATAGCAATAACGTACATGCAGTTCTGTCAATCTAGAGAGAGTAAACCTGTAAACCAACCTTCTCTCCACACACACACTTATAGTTGCTCTATCACTTCGACTGTTTTACACATAGGCCTATAGCATTGGGGACAAATGATAAGGGTAGCGTATATAGATTGTGTAAAAAAACAATATACTTCTCGCTTAGAGAATGGCTTCCATAAGCCAGCTATTGTGTTGACTCTACTGATTAATTTAGTCTATAATTGTTTAAATCCAGTGTTAACCAGCCAGCCGCACGCTAGCAGAGTTAACAGACCCTGTTGACAACACCCAACCCATTTACCGGTGTATATTTAGATAGAGATGTATTGTTTAAATGGTGTTAAAAAGATAGTGATACCAATTGTTATAGGATTTTATAGTCCTACTCCAGTAGAGAACCTAGACAGGTCATTGACCCTCCTCCTATATCAATAGCGTATCCTGTAGCCCCACAGAGCTGTCAATATTTTATTTTCTTAAATTCGATTCGTTCCGATTCACATCCATCAAAAGGGCAACACAGTATAACAGCATTCAATTCATAATATACCCCAATCTCTACAATTAGCTTGTATCAGATCAAACTCAAAACCCAACATTGGTTTTTCCAATTTAACGCCTGTGCAGTATTCAAAATAAACAAAAACGTCCCATGAATTTAAACTTATTTTTAAGTCCACATAGTCCAAGGTTCTGTATTGCATGAGTAAAAAAGGATGAGTCCATCATGCATAAAAAATAAATAATAATAATAATAATAAAGGATTGTAATGTGTAAAAATACAAATAATAATGTGGAGTGCGGTGCAATTTTTAGGTCTATTGAGGAATACTTCAGCATGAGGTATCATTCACAGCCACGTTGTAATCTTCCAATCCTTGAACAATGACTTGTTTACATACAACTTATCGACCACCAGAAGAACATTCTGCTTCTCTGTTTGGAGCATTTTGAAAGTGGGGTACAGGGAACTTCGTCTCTCCACTATTTCATGGGGAAATCGCTCATTAATAGAGAACAGTTTGCTCTTCAGACCCCTACCCCGTCGTAGAAAGGCAATCTTAATTTTGTAGTGAGTTAGCCTAGCTACTATCAGACAGTGCCCACTGGTGTAAAGCACTACAGTAAAAAATACATTGAAGTACTACTTAAGTCATTTTTGGGGGTATCTGTACTTTAATATTGAACTTTTACTTCACTAGATTCCTCAAGACAATAATGTATTTTTTACTCCATCCATTTTCTCTGACACCAAAAAGTACTTGTTACATTTTGAATGCTTAGAAGGACAGGAAAATTGTACAATTCCCACACTTATCAATAGAACATCCCTGGTCATCCCTACTGCCTCTGGTCTGGCAGACTCACTAAACACACCTGCTTCGTTGGTAAATGATGTCTGAGTGTTGGTGTGGAGACAAACAAAGAGGTGTAGTGGGTTCTCACTCAAAAATATGGAGCATAAAGCTTACTTCATTATTCAATGGTTTACATTTTTTACTGAATCTGCTTAATATAAGGAATTTGAAATGATTGATACTTTTACTTTAGATACCTAATTACATTTTAGCAATTAATTACATAATTACATATTAAGTATGTATATATAAAAATAAAACAAATACTTATACAGTATTTTACTGGGTAACTTTCACTTTGACTTGAGTATTATTCTATTGAGGTATATTTACTTTTACTCAAGTATCACAATTGGGTACTTTTTTCACCACTGAGAGTGTCTTCCCTCCACTCTGACACCAAAACGCAGAGGCCTTTGAAAATAAATTGTATCCACCTTTTCCTCCATCTTGAGATTACGTGTCATGAAAACCTTGACTTAATCCTCAGTTGCCTGATAGTTTTAGTTTTCATCCTCCTTTATTCCCATTATGACAATATTATTCTTCATACTTCTGCACTTCAGACCAAGTAATTCTGTTTCCATTGTGTTATTATCATACCATAGCCTCTCAGTAGTGCAGGGTTCCCCAACTGGCGACCTGCGGCCGGAATTTGGTCCACGTGGGATTTTATTTGGCTCCCAAATTTTTCAGAACTAAATAAAGTATAATATATTTTTCAATTGTTAAACATAAAATACAGTAAAAAGACCAGCATATCAGCTCCAAGTGATTTACATTTTGGAAGTCTGTTCCAAGGTATAACCACGCATAATATAAATATATATGTAATTGTATACTAATGTAAGCAAGGTTTGAAGTGATTCTGTTTTAGTCATTTGTTTGGGCTTCTTGCTGTCAATTTGGAGTCTATGAATTATTTGTAATTATATTCTGGCCCCCTGACCATCCGCTTGAGAAAAAATCGTCCCGCAGCTGAATCTAGTTTCTGATCCTTGACTTAAACTGTAAAATATATTTTAAAAATCTAAACTGTTGCTGCTCAACACCAACTAAAAGGGCTGCTGGGTCCTCCATCTTTATTAAGAGTCCAGGTGCAAAAATATATATATATTACAGTGAAGGTGATGAAGACTGGATCCAGAGGTTGTATTTACAAAAATGTACAGATTATAAAAATGATAACTTATTAACTGGCAAAACTACACTTACCTGGCCAATAGCAACATATAACCTCAAATTGAGGACTAAAGCAAAACAGCCTACATTAAACATTTACACTCCTCCTGAACTGAGTTTTGCACCAGAGTTGTAAACTCACTGAGGAGCACTAGAACATCTAGGTGAAGCATACTTTGCAGACTATTCCATGTCTCTGGTGCACAATAGAAAAAGGTAGTCTTGTCTAACTGGGTAACGGCCCTGGGGACTGTAAGAAGCAACCACCTAGTAGACCATGTCTGGTAACTGCTAGTGGTGAAGGAGAACAGGCTACAGAGGTAGTGGAGGAGTTTACTCAGAAGGGCTTTATATATGAACACATACCAATGTAGCTGTCTGCCCATGTAAAATGAGGTCTAGCCCACCATTTGATACAAGGTGCAATGGTGGATGAGCGACTTGGCATTTGTAACAAAGCACAAGGATGCATGATAGACTGAGTCCAGACTTTGTAGCACAGAGGAGGCTTCATGCATGTACATTAAGTTACCATAATTAATTACTGAAAGAAAAGTGGCTTGAACAAGGCTTGTTGCGTAAAAATAGAAACCCAATATATGTTTATGTAAATGTAATATAAATGTAATCTAAAAGGAAGCTAGACTTGGGATTCTCAGCATAGACGTATTGTGTTCTGTCTGCGAGATAGTTTCTTAACCAGATGACAGCCCCTTCATTGAGACCAACGTTATTGAGTCTGGTTAGCAACAGTTTGTGGTCAACAAAAGCCAGATTGAACCCCACACAGGATGTTGTTTCAAGTAGGAATTTATTTAGCTGAGAGTTAACTAGAGATTCAAATACTTTTTACAATTTATTTAAATTATACTTAATCATTAACAGTTCAAGCATATATGGTGCTTGCAAGCACACACAACACAGCAGCAATGTACTTGGGCAGAGACACAACTTCCTAAGAATATCTAAATAGATTTTAAAGTTTATTAACAAAGCACACATTTATTTTAACATATAAAGCAGACGGAATAGTACAGTAAGACTATGATTCAGGAAATTAGGTCAACTGTGAAACAAATCATATTTGGGCAACAACATACGGACTAAAAAGTCAAATTAGTTCAAAGACATAGGTAGCAGTGGTCTAAGGCACTGCATCGCAGTGCTAGCTGTGCCACTAGAGATCCTAGTTCGAAGCCAGGCTCTGTCGTAGCCGGACGCGACCGGGAGACCCATGGGGCGGCGCACAATTGGCCCAGCGTCGTTCAGGGTAGGGGAGGGAATGACCGGCAGGGATGTAACTCAGTTGGTAGAGCATGGCGTTTGCAACGCCAGGGTTGTGGGTTCAATTCCCACGGGGGGCCAGTATGAAAAAATAAATTAAAAAATAAAATAAGAGCGTCTGCTAAATGACTAAAATGTAAATGTAAAATGTACCAAAATGTACCAGGTCCCTGAAAAAGCAGGTGCAAGAAGTAAATCTGTCCCTTGGTCTCACCAGAGAGACCTGTCTGGTTTCTACTCATCCTCAGTTTTACCTTGGAGTCAGTTTGCCCTGAACTTCACCTCAGCAATGATGGTGCACATGAGGAAGAGCACTGCATTTCCAATTTTTGGCACGTAGAAGAATGTTCTCCCTCGTCTGTATAATAATTAAAAGATTTAGAACATGTTCCTCTGTAAATTGCTGGAATACAAGGACCATTGCTTTCTCCACATCTTCCATGTGACTAGGACACCAGATATCACCACCACCAACATGCCCAGAGGAATCAGTAGGACTTTTAGATCTATGGAACTGATGGTGAAAGTCTGTTTATTGTAAAATAAAGTCCATGAAACATCATAGATAAATAGACATGTTTGTGCTGCTATGACTAAATGGAATTATTTGTTGAGCTTTTCACACTTTTCATGTGTGGAACTTGACCATACAAGAATAGAATGCTACTACTTCTGCAAACCACAGAGACATGAGGAAGTGGTACATGTCTCTATGACAACCGTGTCTTGGCCTATACTTGGTGTGAAAACTTTTTTTTTTTTTTTTTTTTCATTTTTAGCAGACGCTCTTATCCAGAGCGACTTACAGGAGCAATTAGGGTTAAGTGCCTTGCTCAAGGGCACATCGACAGATTTTTCACCTAGTCGGCTCGGGGATTAGAACCAGCGACCTTTCGGTTACTGGCACAACACTCTTAACCACTAAGCTACCTGCCGCCCCATTTAAGGAAGATGTTTTTGTGCCCTGAGCTCTAGTGTGAAAACCAGAAAAAGTTACTTCTATTGCCATCCATTTGGAAGGGTAAGTGTTAAATACAGCTGAATGAGTGATAATTACCTCATGGTGTCCTTCTCCTTGACCTCCTCAGGTCCTTGGACTGTGTTGTCAGTCTGAACAGGCTCAGCAGTTGGAGAGAAAGAGGATTGTTCAGTGGTTGGAGCTTGGGTTGCTGTGAGGTAAAAACAACAATGGTATTATGACTGGTGTACCAGAGAGACACAGGGTAGACTGAACTGTAACAAGACACTGTGGCTAAGCTATGACCTTCTTGTACAGTTTATGTCATTTACTCCAACATGTGGGTTTTACTTAGTTTTAGCACTGTTGAGTTCAAACCAATGTTAGGACTACTGTAATCAGGTTATAATCCAATTTGTTTCAGATGATAATCAAGCAAGACTGAATAAAACAAGGTTATTACTTAAAAAACCCTAGAGTCGATTGATGCACCGGTGTGTCAATCTAAGTGACATAATAAAAAAATCCCCATAAAAATCTGTCAGTTGAAGCTAAAGATATCTTCTATATCTGATATTGTGTAAATCCAAAGCATCTGCCTGTGTCGCAATTCCGGCGGTGAAAAGATTCCAAGATGGCATAGCAGTGCGGTCGTGTATTATGTTGTGTCCTCGTGTAAATAGCCTGTTTTTTGTTTTTTTTTCCCGTATATATTTCTCTCTCACTTTCCATCCTTAACTAAATATACTTTCCTGCAACCCGCCTCACCCAATGTGGAACGGATTCTATTATTTCTTCATACCTTTTATCAAGAACCCACGGCTGAAACTAGCCAGCTAACTAGCTACTTGCTATTAGCTATTGCTATTAGCCACCGTTAGCGGTCTTCACCACTGTCCATGGCCTGCAGTACCTACCAGCCAGCTCTAGCCTGGACAATTATCGGCCAGTCTACACAGCGTGCTATCGACCCAGAGCATTTCGGATTTTCTGCCAGAATTACTGAATCACTGGACCTTAACACCGGATCATCACAACTAGCTAGCTAAAACCGAATGGATGTTGTTTTTGGCTAATCACCACTAATCACCACCAGGCCCGTCTCCCGGCTATCCACCTCTCTGTCAACCGGACGGGACCTCCTAGTGTCGACACGGAGCCCCGCCGATCCATCACGACTGGTCTGCCGACGTAATCGTCTGATGTGGTTTCAACAGGCTTCCCGTTGCGTCGACCACAAAGATCCATCTGCTAGCACCGGCCCGCTAGCATGTGCAATCAACAGCCGTGCCTCCTGCTCGTCTGTGCTGTAGCAGCCTACGAACTGCTCCCGGACTTACCTATTGCTGTTCACTGGACCTTATGATCACTCAGCTACACATCTGATGCCCTTTACTGTTCCTTTACACGGTACCCCATCCTGTTTTTCTGTTTAGCCTCAGCCCAAACTTTCGTCGCCATTACCATTTGTTGTCTTCGCCCTCTCGAATAACACCTGTGATTGCATTATGCCTCTCTCCCATGTCAATATGCCTAGCCTATTGCTGTTTGGGTTAGTTGTTATTGTACTATTTCACTGTAAAGCCCCCAGTCCCACTCAACCTGCCTCAGATAGCATCCTTGTCCCACCCCCCATACACGCAGAGACCGGCTCAATCGGTACCTTCCATATCCTTGTCTGTACATAATGCCCTGAATCTATTCTACAATGCCCGGAAATCTGCCTGGTCTTCTAGTGCGTTGGGTACAGAGCATACACGGGGCTCTGTACCCAACGCACTAGAAGACCAGTTCTTAAAGCCTTTAGCCTTATACTTATTATATTCCTCCTCTGTTCCTCTGGTGATGTAGAGGTTAACCCAGGCCCTGTAGCCCCCAGTATCACTCATACTCCCCAGGCGCTATCATTTTTTGACTTCTGTAACCGTAAAAGCATTGATTTCTTGCATGTTAACATCAGAAGCCTCCTCCCAAAGCTTGAGTTATTCACTGCGTTAGCACACTCTGCCAACCCCGATGTTCTAGCAGTGTCTGAATCCTGTCTTAGGAAGGCCACCAAAAATTCAGAAATGTCCATCCTGAATTACAACATTTTCCGTCTAGATAGAACTGCCAAAGGGGGCGGAGTTGCAATCTACTGTAGAGATAGCCTGCAGAGCTCTATCATACTATCCAGGTCTGTGCCCAAACAGTTTGAGCTTCTACTTCTAAAAATCCACCTTTCCAGAAATAAGTCTCTCACTGTTGACGCTTGCTACAGACCCCCCTCAGCCCCCAGTTGTGCCCTGGACACCATATGTGAATTGCTTGCCCCCAATCTATCCTCAGAGTTCGTACTGCTTGGTGACCTAAACTGGGATATGCTTAACACCCCGGCCGCCCTACAATCTAAACAAATTATCAAGGAACCTACCAGGTACAACCCAAAATCCGTAAACATAGGCACCCTCATAGATATCATCCTGACTAATTTACCCTCTAAATACACCTCCGCTGTCTTCAACCAGGATCTCAGCGATCACTGCCTCATTGCCTGCGGCTGTAATGGGTCCGCGGTCAAACGATCACCCCTCATCACTGTCAAATGCTCCCTAAAACACTTCAGCGAGCAGGCCTTTCTAATTGACTTGGCCCGGGTATCCTGGATGGATATTGACCTCATTCCGTCAGTAAAGGATGCCTGGATGATCTTCAAAAGTGCTTTCCTCTCCATCTTAAATAAACATGCCCCATTCAAAAAATTCAGAACTAAGAACAGATATAGCCCCTGGTTCACCCCAGACTTGACTGCCCTTGACCAGCACAAAAACATCCTGTGGCGTACTACATTAGCATCGAACAGCCCCCGCGATATGCAACTTTTCAGGGAAGTCAGGAACCAAAATACACAATCAGTTAGGAAAGCAAAGGCTAGCTTTTTTAAACAGACTCCAAAAAGTTTTGGGACACTGTAAAGTCCATGGAGAATAAGAGCACCTCCTCCCAGCTACCCACTGCAATGAGGCTAGGAAACACTGTCACCACCAATAAATCTACAATAATCGAGAATTTCAATAAGCATTTTGCTACGGCTGGCCATGCTTTCCACCTGGCTACCCCTACCCCGGCCACCAGCTCTGCACCCTCCGCTGCAACTTGCCCATGCCCCCCCCCCCGCTTCTCCTTCACCCAAATTCAGATAGCTGATGTCCTGAAAGAGCTGCAAAATCTGGACCCTTACACATCAGCTGGGCTAGACAATCTGGACCCTTTCTTTCTAATATTAGCCGCCAAAATTGTCGCAACCCCTATTACTAACCTCTCTTTCGTATCGTCTGAGATCCCCAGAGATTGGAAAGCTGCCGCGGTCATCCCCCTCTTCAAAGGGGGTGACACTCTAGATCCAAACTGTTACAGACCTATATACATCCTACCCTGCCTTTCGAAAGTATTTGAAGGCCAAGTTAACAAACAGATCACCGACCACTTCGAATCCCACCGTACCTTCTCCGCTATTCAATCTGGTTTCCGAGCTGGTCATGGGTGCACCTCAGCCACGCTCAAGGTCCTAAACGATATAATAACCGCGATTGATAAAAGACAGTACTGTGCAGCCGTCTTCATCGACCTGGCCAAGGCTTTTGACACTGTCAATCACCGCATTCTTATTGGCAGACTAAATAGCCTTGGTTTCTCAACTGACTGCCTCGCCTCGGAGGGCCTGTTGTCTGGACCTCTGTCAGTCGCTATGGGGGTGCCACAGGGTTCAATTCTCGGGCCGACTCTATTCTCTGTGTATATCAATGATGTCGCTTTTGCTGCTGGTGACTCACAGATTCACCTCTACGCAGACGACACCATTTTGTATACATCTGGCCCTTCATTGGACACTGTGTTAACAAACCTCCAAATGAGCTTCAATGCCATACACCACTCCTTCCGTGGCCTCCAACTGCTCTTAAACACTAGTAAAACTAAATGCATGCTCTTCAATCGAACGCTGCTTGCTCCCGCCCGCCCGACTAGAATCACTACTCTCGGCGGGTCTGAATTAGAATATGTGGACAACTACAAATACCTTGGTGTCTGGTTAGACCGTAAACTCTCCTTCCAGAATCACATTAAGCATCTCCAATCCAAAGTTAAATCTAGAATCCTTCACTCCTGCTGCTAAACATGCCCTCGTAAAACTGACTATCCTACCGATCCTTGACTTCGGCGATGTCATGTACAAAATAGCTTCCAAAACTCAACTCAGCAAATTGGATATAGTCTTTCACAGTGCCATCCGTTTTGTCACCAAAGCCCCATATGCTACCCACCAATGTGACCTGTACGCTCTCGTTGGCTGGCCCTCACTACATATTCGAAATTGGGCCCACCTGGCTTGACGAGAGTTAATCCGTTTCACTGCCGTCTGGGCTCCAAATTCCGGTGGTCAGTAAGAATCCGGAATGGATGGACTGCGCCCTCCAGCCTGTGTCTCCATTCCTGCAGATCGAGGACCACCGCCAACAGCTCCCTGTCTCCCACTCCATAGTTCATCTCTGCGGGGGTAAGCTTTTTAGAGAAAAAGGCACAGGGATACATTTTCTCTGGCTTACCGTGCCGCTGGGAGAGGACCGCACCCACGGACTCCTCCGATGCATCCATCTCCAGGATGAAAGGACAAGATGGATCTGGGTGTTTTAGGATGGGCGCTGTGGTGAACCTCTCCTTCGGCCTCTTGAAGGCAGCGTCAGCCTCAGGGTTCCAGGCCAGCATCTGAGGCCCACCCTTAAGGAGAGAGGTGGGCGGGGCGGCTATGGAGCTGAAGGACCTGATGAAACGCCGGTAGAAATCAGCAAAGCCCAGGAAGCTCTGTTGGCCCTTGATGGCGGTGGGAACCAGCCATGACCTGACGGCGTCCGTCTTCACTCCTTCCATGAACACCCCCTGAGGACTGATCTGGTATCCCAGGAAGGAGATGGCCTGTTGGTGGAATTCACATTTCTCCCCCTTCACCAACAGGCTGTGTTCCCTGAGGCGGAGTAGGACAGCTCGGATGTCCCTGACGTGCTCCTCGAACGTAGCCGAGTAGATCAGGATATCGTCGATGTACACCACCACCTGTCTACTCAGCATGTCCTGGAACACGTCATTGACGAAGGACTGGAACACATTGGCAAGGCCGTAGGGCATGACACAGTATTCATAGTGGCCTGAGGTAGTGCTTAATGCCGTCTTCCACTCATCTCCTTCCCGGATTCGGATCAGGTTGTAGGCACTCCTCAGGTCCAACATGGAAAAGTACCGGGCCCCTCGTAGCTGCTCAACGGCCGACGGAACCAGAGGGAGGGGGTACCGGTACTTGGTGGTGACTGCGTTCAGCCCCCTGTAGTCAATGCATGGTCTCAGTCCTCCGTCTTTTTTTGCCAAGAAGAAGAAGCTGACGGAGGCAGGAGAGGTAGAGCGTCTGATGAACCCCAGTTTCAGGGTCTCCGCCACATACTTCTCCATGGCCTCAGTCTCCTCCATGGAAACTTAACAATGACACAGAGAAATAACAAAGATAGAGTAAACGACACGAAGCTAAACAATCACACACAACATCATCCAGAACAGTCCAGGGCTAAATAGGGGTGGTGATGAGATGATGAGGTGCAGGTGAGCTGGAGGTGATTAGGGTGCATTGGGTTTCCATTCCGGTGTTGCAGAGGTGGTGCGCTCAGACCGGTGGCTCAGTAGACCGGCGAATCAGAGCGCCGGAGGGGAGCAACAGGAGGAGACGTGACATTAACAAAAAAGTCCATACCAGAGCTGGCCAACCTTCCTCCACTCCCTGATCTACTGGGTGAGCAGACTTCTATTCCAGCGTAGCAATAATACACATTATTATCAACTCATTAGGTTTGAGAAGTTGAATCAGGTGTGTTAGTGCTGGGCTGGAACAGAAGCCTGCACACCCAGCATACCTCCAGGAGAAGGATTGGCCTGCTACAGTTGTAATAAGTTTGCAGGCTACATTGTGTGACTTTTAACTGTATTGTAGTATACAACATTAGCTAACATACGTACACATACTACCCATGGCATACAAGGATGTGCCAGCAGTCTCTTGGGACATTCATTGGGACCTCTTCATCTGCATACAGGCTTTCACAGCTCTCCATATCTGAGGACAGACATCACAAAGAAACAGGCTTCATTTTATTACAATTAGACAGCCCTGACTATTATCTCCTTGTCTGTCTTCATAGTTTTCCTCTCTAGGACTAGAACACCAGAATATTTGCATAATGTCATCCCACAACCTGCCCTGTCTAACTAGCTAGTACACCTACTACCTTTTCTGACAGCTGGAGCAGAAAATCCTTTCACCCTCTTCCATTGCTGTTATCTACAAATGCATTTGGAGCATGAGTTTTTAATTTACAATGATGAATAGGCATCAAGATAACAAGCTAATATGACGTTAACTAGCTGTAGTATGTCAGGTTAGCTAACAAGCAGCTCATTAGCCTACACACAGTGGCCAGCAGTACCTAGCTAGCTAATAATACATAAAAAAACAAAAAAACATTGTCAAAAATGTTTTGAAATATATTTAGCTACATACTTGAATAGGTTCACGCCTACGCCCATGCACACAAAGCATTTTGTTCTACAACCCCCACAAGTGTCATGGGACTCGTCTGAAGGTAACCGGTACCGGTTGAACAAAATTATTGAAAGTATATATTTATTTACTGTATTTTTTTCCATTTATGAATGTCTTATTCAATGTTTTTCACAAGCTATAGCAGTAATTCAATTCAATAGCCAAATTCAATATTTTAGCAAATATTTTTTTTATACCTAAAGGGGTCCTAAAATTCAAAATCAAATAGCAAAATGATCCATAGTATGACCATCTTAAAACAATTGTCAACCCCCCACGACTTAGACTTTTAAGAATTAATTCTACAGTATCTGATTGCTCTCTACTCACTGGTCATAGTGGTGGTACTTTGTGTGGTGGTTTGTCGTCTGACAGTGATGTGAACAGTCATCATAAGGTCTCCCACTCTACACCTGTACCAGCCAGTGTTATCCATCTTCAGACCACTCATAGCCACCGTTAAGACTTTTCCTCTGGTGGCATCAGTGGTCTGCTGTAGGGTCACTGATGTTCCATCTAGAGTCCCCGAATTCCCCCACATACAGGAGATACTGTCACCAATCCTGCACCACTTCCTATTTCCAGTGTCACTATAGTAACAATTTACCATGACACTCCCTCCTTCAACTCCAGTCACCTCTAGTTGGTCCACATAGAGTTCTGGAGTACCTGAACACAGAGGTACTGTCACCAAAGACAGTCTTGAGTGATCAAGTGTTTTTTTGTAACAACTGACTACAAATATCATAATCATGATATGATGGATAGAGAACAGAAAGTAGACATATACCAACATTCCTCATGTCAACTTCAACTATAATAGTGATGGAGTAAAAAATTCATTATTGTCTTGAGGAATCTAGTGAAGTAAAAGTTAAATAGTACTTTATACCAGTGGGCAGTGTCCGATAGTAGCTAGGCTAACTCACAACAAAATGAAGATTGCCTGGCTACAATGGGGTAGGGATCTGAAGAGCACACCGTTCTCTATTAATGAGCGATTTCCCCATGAAATAGTAGAGAGACGAAGTCTCAAAAGGCTCCAAACAGAGAAGCAGAATGTTCTTCTGGTGGTTGATAAGTTGTATGTAAACAAGTCATTGTTCAAGGATTGGAAGATTACAACGTGGCTGTGAATGATACCTCATGCTGAAGTAGTCCTCAATAGGCCTACACATTGCACCGCACTACACATTACAATCCTATTTTTTATGCATGATGGACTCATCCTTTTTTACTCATGCAATACAGAACCTTGGCCTATGTGGACTTAAAATTAAGTTTAGATTAATGGGACGTTTTTGTTTATTTTGAAGACTGCACAGGCATTAAATTGGAAAAACCAACGTTGGGTTTTGAGTTTGATCTGATACAAGTTAATTGTAGAGATTGGGGTATATTATGGCTTGAATGCTGTTGAACTGTGTTGCCCTTTTGCCGGATGTGAATCGGAACGAATATAATTTAAGACAATATATATTGACAGCTCTGTGGGGCTACAGGATACGCTATTGATATAGGAGGAGGGTTAATGACCTGTCTAGGTTCTCTACTGGAGTAGGACTATACAATCTATAACAATTGGTGTCACTATCTTTTTAACACCATTTAAACAATACATTTAAATTTTAAAAATGCAAAGGACCGATACACACCGGATAATGGGTTGGGTGTTGTCAACAGGGTCTGTTAACTCTGCTAGCGCGCGGCTGGCTCGTTAACACTGGATTAAACCAATTATAGCCTAAATTAATCAGCCAATTAATCAGTGTATGATCTTATTATTCGTATCTAAGAACCATTTGCTTTGCTAATTAGAGACTAATGTTAGCTAGTTAACATTGAACCTGGTTTGTTAGCGACCTGCAGATTCATGCAGGGTAGTAACATCATGAGTTGGGATTATGGTTCATTGTTTACCTAGCTAGCTAGCTAAATGTCTTACCAAAAGACTCCACTATGCAAGTAACCATTTTGGGTGCGTTCGTAAATTCAGTCTGAGTATGCCAGAGCATAGGTGAACGGAATGAGTAGGTGTGTCCAACTCAACAGTGCTAATACTAAGTTAAAATCCACATGTTGGGGTAAATTAAATAAGATGGACAAGAAGGACATATCTTAGCCACAATGTCTTGTTACAGTTCAGTCTACCCTGTGTCTCTCTGGTACACCAGTCATAATACCATTGTTGTTTTTACCTCACAGCAACCCACGCTCCAACCACTGAACAATCCTCTTTCTCTCCAACTGCTGAGCCTGTTCAGACTGACAACACAGTCCAAGGACCTGAGAGGGTCAAGGAGAAGGACAACATGAGGTAATTATCACTAATTCAGCTGTATTTCACACTTACTTTTCCAAATGGATGGCTATAGAAATAGGAAGAAAGGTAACATTTTCTGTTTTCACAATAGTTTAGGGCACAAAACACCCTCCTTAAACGTTTTCACACCAAGTATTGGCCAAGACACTGTTATAGAGACATTTACAATCATAGAGACAGAGATATTTGCTACTTCCTCATATCTCTGTGGTTTGTAGAAGTAGCAGCATTATTCACATTAATAGGTGTGAAGAGCTGAACAAACATTTCCATGTTGTCATAGCAGCAGAAAAAACATAACAGAAAATGTATTTTACCATCAGTTCCATAGATCTAAAAGTCCTACTGAATCCTCTGGGCATGTTGGTGTTGGTGATAGCTGGTGTCCTAGTCACATGGAAGATGTGGAGAAATCATAGTAAGTATTCATTCTATAATGACTGTAATGAAAAAGTGATACGTTTGATTTTGGAGATATTTTCTTGAGACAATAAATATTTTCCTTAAAGACATTACATTTTTACATTTTAGTCATTTAGCAGACGCTCTTATCCAGAGCGACTTACAGGTAGTGAATGCATACATTATTTGTATTATTTATTTTTCATACTGGCCCCCCGTGGGAAACAAACCCACAACCCTGACATTGCAAACGCCATGCTCTACCAACTGCACTGCTCTACACTGCAAACCACTTATAGAAACTGAAATCACGCTGAATATAGAGTTAATATATATACATTGTACAGTTACAATACAATGGACATGAAGCTTTAGCTGAAGGGCTAATGTGTGATTTAAGCGCATCTTATGTCCATGTCCTGCATTTTTCAAAGACAGGGCCTTACCCACAAGGCCTTGAGTCAGATGAGAGGAACATGAGTGTAGCCTACCACTGAGATGTTTGTTATCTGGTCCATGGCCTTATTGTCCTCTGGAATAAAGAAAGAGAGATGCAGTATTAGAGACCTCTGAGATACACTAGAATAATACTGAATACATTCATCATAGAAGAGTTATACTTTTGAGTCTCCTCCTCTTATGTCAAGATACATTGGTTATAACATAGGCTAATACAGTTGTCTTCAAGGAAAATATTGATGTCTCATGAAAATATCTCCAAAATCAAACTTATAATTTTTCCAATATAGTAATTATAGAATGAATACTTACTATGCTTTCTCCACATCTTCCATGTGACTAGGACACCAGCTATCACCACCACCAACATGCCCAGAGGAATCAGTAGGACTTTTAGATCTATGGAACTGATGGTGAAAGACTATGTTTATTATAAAATACAGTCCATGAAATATCACAGTTAAATAGATTATTATTATTTGGTTTATGTTTTTTGTGCTAATATGACAACATGGAAACATTTGTTCAGCTCTTCAAATCTTTTATGCATGAAACTTGACCATCCAAGAATAGAATGCTGCTACTTTGACAACCACAGAGATATGAGGAAGTGATAAATGTCTCTATGATGGTAAATGTCTCTATAACAGTGTCTTGGCCTTTACTCGGTGTGACATTTTTAAGGAGGGTGTTTTTGTGCCTGAAGCTCTAGTGTGAAAAACAGAAAATGTTCCCTTTCTTCATAATATTTCTATTGCCATCCATTTGGAAGGATAAGTGTCAAATACAGCTGAATGAGTGATAATTACATTAACCCCAACATGTGGATTTTAACTTGTACTGTTGAGTTCAAACCAATGGTAGGACCGCTAAGTATTCACAAAAGCTTTGAATCAGGATACAGTTCAATTTGTTTCTGATGATAAGCCAGCAAGACTGGATAAAACCAGGTTAATACTTAATAATACAGTATCTGATTGCTCTTGTGGTGTCCAAGACAGCGTTGCTGATAATGCCGGGATGATAAGAAGTCCGCTTACACTGTTCTTTGATTATAAAGATTTATTATATCAAAGTTCACAGTATTAATTTACAGATATCTGCAGTTATATCTGGAGAGAAACGGCCAATCTGTTGATCCAATATGTTGTCTCTCTCCCAGTCCTTTGTTTAAGACACAGTATTTATATCCAATGTGACGTAATATGGCGTGATTTTAATAAACCAATCCCCGGCTTTCACATATCTCCAAATGTCCTCTATTCCAAGAAACCTATGTAGCAATGCTTTTCCAAATGCTTCAGCAAAGCAGAGTAAAGTTAATCTATTACACCATTTGCAAACATCAGCAAAATCAATAGACCTTCAGACACTACACTCTCTACTCACTAGTCATAGTGGTGGTACTTTGTGTGGTGGTTTGTCGTCTGACAGTGATGTGAACAGGCATTATAAAGTATCCCACTCCACACTTGTACCAGCCAGTGTTGTCCATCTTCAGACCACTCATAGTCACCGTTAAGATGTTTCTTCTGGTGGCATCAGTGGTCTGCTGTAGGGTCACTGATGTTCCATCTATACTCCCAGAATTCCCCCACATACAGGAGACACTGCCCCCAATCCAGCACCACTCCTTCCCATTTCTAGTGTCACTATAGTAACAATTTACAATGACACTCCCTCCTTCAACTCCAGTCACCTCCTGTTGGTCCACATAGAGTTCTGGAGTACCTGAACACAGATGTACACACACCAAAGAAGGTCCTGAGTGATCAAGTGTTTTTTTGTAACAACTGACCACAAATATCATAATCATGATATGATGGATAGAGAACAGAAAGTAGACATTTTTATTTTATTTTATTTCACCTTTATTTAACCAGGTAAACCAGTTGAGAACAAGTTCTCATTTGCAACTGCGACCTGGCCAAGATAAAGCAAAGCAGTGCGATAAAAACAACAACACAGAGTTACATATGGGGTAAAACAAAACAAAGTCAAAAATACAACAGAAATAAATATATATACAGTGTGTGCAAATGTAGCAAGTTATGGAGGTAAGGCAATAAATAGGCTATAGTGCAAAATAATTACAATTAGTATTAACACTGGAATGATAGATGTGCAAGAGATGATGTGCAAATAGAGATACTGGGGTACAAATGAGCAAAATAAATAACAATATAGGGATGAGGTAGTTGGGCGGGCTAATTTCAGATGGGCTGTGTACAGGTGCAGTGATCGGTAAGGTGCTCTGACAACTGATGCTTAAAGTTAGTGAGGGAGATAAGTGTCTCCAGCTTCAGAGATTTTTGCAATTTGTTCCAGTCATTGGCAGCAGAGAACTGGAAGGAATGGCGGCCAAAGGAGGTGTTGGCTTTGGGGATGACCAGTGAGATATACCTGCTGGAGCGCAGACTACGGGTGGGTGTTGCTATGGTGACCAATGAGCTAAGATAAGGTGGGGATTTGCCTAGCAGTGATTTATAGATGGCCTGGAGCCAGTGGGTTTGGCGACGAATATGTAGTGAGGACCAGCCAACAAGAGCGTACAGGTCACAGTGGTGGGTAGTATATGGGGATTTGGAGACAAAACGGATGGCACTGTGATAGACTACATCCAATTTGCTGAGTAGAGTGTTGGAGGCTATTTTGTAAATGACATCGCCGAAGTCAAGGATCGGTAGGATAGTCAGTTTTACGAGGGCATGTTTGGCAGCATGAGTGAAGGAGGCTTTGTTGCGAAATAGGAAACCGATTCTAGATTTAACTTTGGATTGGAGATTCTTAATGTGAGTCTGGAAGGAGAGTTTACAGTCTAACCAGACACCTAGATATTTGTAGTTGTCCACATACTCTAGGTCAGACCCGTCGAGAGTAGTGATTCTAGTCGGGTGGGCGGGTGCAAGCAGTGTTCGGTTGAAGAGCATGCATTTAGTTTTACTAGTGTTTAAGAGCAGTTGGAGGCTACTGAAGGAGTGTTGTATGGCATTGAAGCTCGTTTGGAGGTTTGTTAACACAGTGTCCAATGAAGGCATATACCAACATTCCTCATGTCAACTTGAACAATAATAGTGAGACCAGTAAATGAAACAAGAACACCAGTCAAGTAATCACATGCAAGAGTTGCAGGGTCTTACCTGGAGTGACAGATAGTTGGAACCAATTTGTCCAGACATGTGGTAGGCCATTGATCACCACAGCACAACAGTACCATTCAGAGTCCTCACTCCCCAGATCAGTCATGGTCACAGTGAAGGTTAGCTGGTTGATGTCATCAGAGATTGAGGCCTTAGCTGTGCTCTTAGGAAGGTAAGTGCGTACAACAGGAGAGCAACTATTGAAATAATATCCTTTACACCAATATTTCACATGGGTTTTGTATTCCTGATGATAGGGACATGGGATGGTGATGGATCCTCCTGTCTTCACAGACACACAGAAGATGAGGAGGAGGATGGAGAGGGAGAGATGAGAAGCCATTTCTGGGTATGTGTCTCCGTATGTTATATGGTACCAATGCACAATGTGTGTGTCAAGGACCAAGGCACCAAAGAGAAAGACTGAACTTCCTAATAGCTATCGCTGTCTTTAACTCTCTTCCTGCTTCTGTTATAGTGTATATGCCCCCCTCAGTGGCAGATAGAAACTATTACATTCGATGAACTAGTTGTAACATAAGTCTCTAAGGCACTACAACTGATTACTTTATTTCATTTAATTAGCACATTTGTATATCTTATATCAAATAAAATCACGTATAGTGTTACTAAAGTTGGAGGACCCATTGAGACCAATGTTACTGAGTCTGGCTAGCAACAGTTTGTGGTCCACTGAATCAAACTGAATCAAACACTGCAGCACAATGTCGTTTTTCAATAAGTGCATTTATGATGTCATTCGCCGCTCCCATTTGCCACACCTCAGAAACAATGTATTCTTTAGGCCTACTGTCAATAAGGCTCACACAAGATAGTTAGAATTTCTATGAAGCAGGTGGTCTTTATTTGTCCTTTATTTGAGTGTCAAGGATTCCAAACAGTGTTTTTGTAAAACATGCAGAACCAATGAATGATCATAATAGTGCCATGTTATGGGACCAATCCTGTTCCTTCTTGTAGTTTCTCCTAGGGAGCTGGTTCATAGTAGCTCTCATTCATCTCCATATAGTCATCCTTTGCGTGACGCAAAGCGACAATCCCGGATTCTTCCACCAACGTCCTTTCATCCTGAAGTATGTTTTGTCTGCTGAAAAACAGTTTTCTGTCGTCTGCTTGACATTCTGTTGATGCGCCTGGAATAATGATGGACACCCTAAGCAAGACTGTATACTGAGAAAATAGGCATCTTTAAGCAAAGCTAGAACAGCAAGAGGGAGGAACTTGCATACTAATTAATAGGCTCATCCTCTTCTTTGGGCTAAGACTTGACTACACTTCCCATAATGTAACAGTGTTGATGTGCAGACCCCATCTATAGTGAATTGTGGCCACATTCAGAGAGATAAGCTGTTTCTGGATACTGTTTAACGAGGGTCATGTTCACTTTGCATCATATTATATATTTTGTTGGGTCTTGTCCAATAAGAAATTATATTTTTTGTTTACAGTTTGGCTACGGTGTGTCCTACTGAACACGACCCAGGTTGATTCACTTTGTAGTACTCCAGCACATTAGTACAGTGTTTTTGGACCATTCTCTCTCGGCTCTCTCCCTGTCTCTGTCTGGTCCACTGAAGTAGTTACTTACATGACGTGTCTTCACTGTCAACCGGTGCGGGTGGCTCACGAGGCAACATGACATTCTGCTGTATTGGCCTCAAGCAGTTCTGACGCCACGTGACAGAGAGGACAAGACAGAGAACAGTTATCACCATTACCAACATCTTCACCCAGATTCACTGGAATCAACATCACAATTAATGTGCATTTGTGAGAATGTGAAATTGAGACACTATACTTTAGATATAATATGATATTATATTTGCCTAATTATGATCTTCAAGATTGAGAGAGCAGAGAGGACAGAGTGGTCTCCCATCTCCTCAAAGTGTATGGTCCTTGAAGGCATCCTCGCGGTATAGGATGTTTTCCCAGTGCCAGATGGCATCCAAGAGCGTGTGTAGGTCTTCCACCTACAGTGTGGAATATAGAGAGACTTGTGTGAACTCTGAACCCTTACCCTACCTCATGTCCTCGCGCAAAGCAGTGTCCTTCTTCAGATAAAAGCCTGCCACGAAACATAAATGGAAAATGTGTCACATTTATAATATTGAGTTCGTGATATTGAGTTCCGCGTGCTGTTGCTATTAAAATCCTATAGATGGCAGTACAGTTTAGGATAGAGCCTTACAGTATGGACAGCACTGACTTCTCCACATCCTGTGTTGTGGCATTTTCTCTCTGCTGGAGAAGCTAATCTTCTTCTCCACAACCTTCAGCTCTGGACAGACAACACACTTTCACTCATAAATAAAAAAAATATTGCACACCTGAAGTCACAGGTTGGGAAAAGTGAAAACTAGAATGGGTGCTCCAGCACACAGTTTAGTGAGAACATTTATGAACATGTAACGTTCCGGTCAAAGAGACCTTTGCCAAGACATTCATTAGTAGCCTAAATATTCTGTTTGGCAAACGGTGTACAGGCCTACAGGAGACACACAACCAAACCGCATGCTGCTAAAAGACTGACATAATGCTTTTATATTAGTGCTGCACTTGTGGACATATATTATGTCAACTTTAAGGGAAAAAAATATATATATATATGATTTGTTATTAGGCTACTGGCTCTTTGCCATTTGTTTACTACATGTAGTACATGTGTAATAAGTGTGTGTGTGTGTGTGTGATTATTATTTGACCCTGCTGGTCATCTATAAACGTTTGAACATCTTGGAGAAAAATCTGCCCTTATTGACCATGTACTGTTATAATCATTCCAAATTTCCAAATTATTATGTCCATTATCAATATTGATTGGAAAACAAATGGGGGCACCCATCTGAGTGTCATTTGTCATTTTATGAATGGAAACTTTGTAACCGCTGATTTTACACGTTTCCACAATACTGCCGCATGTAGGTTTAACTTTATTTGATGGACGGCAAATTGTCCAATAGTGGCACTCTCTTGAACAGGAAGTAAAATGACAGTCGACCAATAGGTCTCACATACATTTACGTTCCTTTTCCCTCTCTGTTTTTGTCACGCCGGGTTGTTCGCTCAAAGGTGAGATATTTCATAAACTCTACTCTTTTACACAAATAACTGAAATACTGCCAGGCTTTTGACGTGGAGAAACATGAACATAGATACAGCGGTAGGTTTATGTACTACCTCAAGACAGGTCTACGCTGAAAATAAATATTGCAGCCAAACATTACACAGGAGAGAGACAGCCTACGCAATCGGCCCTTCTGTTTTTTAAATGAGCTCTTTACTGACAGATTTACCCAGTGCGTTAGAATGTATATGTGGCTGGCAGGCTTCCAACTGAACCTGGCTGGCTTCTTTAGACATCAATGACACTAATGCATGTCTGTAGAAGTCGCACCTTTACCTTCAATTTTAAGTTCAACTGTTCTTTAACTTTACCTTGAGGATTTATGAATGAATTGTCCCGTTCGATTCATTGTATAAGCATTTTACTGTATGTCATTAAAGTATAATATAGGCCTATGAGATTATCATCTATTCTTAGTGTAGGCTAACATTATTTTTGCAAATACATGAATAGCCTATTTCCATTGTTGGTCAAATTATAACTACAATGAGCATTTATTTTCATTGTAAAATCTTGCAAAATATGAACAAATATAACATGTCATTAAGCACATTCACAACCTTTGCATGTGTAGGCTGCTATATATAGGCTTTACAGATGCGTTATGCATTGCCAATGCCACTTAACACAGTGACCAGTGTTGGCTCAACATATGTTCATCCTCTTTGTACTGCTACCGGGTAAGGCTGCCTTGTCTTGTTCTCAGCCTGTGTCCTTACCATTAGTACTGCAGTACTGTTAACCTTTGCCAAGTCATTCATTAGTAGCCTAAATATTCTGTTTGGCAAACGGTGTACAGGCCTACAGGAGACACACAACCAAACCGCATGCTGCTAAAAGACGGACATAACGCTTTTACATTAGTGCTGCACTTGTGGACATAGATTATTACATTTTACATTTACATTTTAGTCATTTAGCAGACGCTCTTATCCAGAGCGACTTACAGTTAGTGAATACATATATATTTTTTTATACTGGCCCCCCGTGGGAATCAAACCCACAACCCTGGCGTTGCAAACGCCATGCTCTATCAACTGAGCTACATCCCTGCCGGCCATTCCCTCCCCTACCCTGGACGACGCTGGGCCAATTGTGCGCCGCCCATGAGTCTCCCGGTCGCGGCCGGCTGCGACAGAGCCTGGATTCGAACCAGGATCTCTAGTGGCACAGTTAGCACTGCGATGCAGTGCATTAGACCACTGTGCCACTCAGGAGACTTATTATTATAAGTAAGCTTGAATTTTTTTTAAATATATATTATTTACATGTCCACCTCATTCCTCACAACACATGTTCATAACTTTTGAAATTACTTTCCATACACACCTGTGCGTGAATTTGTAATTGATGAGAATGAAACCATATTAGATGATTAGACTGTGGCTACATGTGTAGACTTTAGATGCTGTCCATGTAGGCTATTTGTTTTACACATCTCATCAGAGAAGAGTTCCAAAATGCCTATATTTCCCTTCAATTCCCTGTTTTAGTGTTTGCTAAGCAACACTAACTTCTAGAATTCGTTTTTTCTCCGCCTCCTTTTTATGCACACCAATTGTTTGCCAGTAATCAAGCATTTAATCACTTGTCAAATTAATGTTAAGACCATTCTCATCTTTCTTGATCCGCTTTTGAGCCAACTCATGAATACGAGATTCCCTCAATTTAACAAGGTCTGTAGCTTGCACCTTATCCATTGCGTAGGCTACGTATTCATTATATATCAGGGAATGTAATGGAAGAAATCATCTAAACTTCCTACGGACCCGCAGGTGCAAACCTGAAGCATACGACAATCCTTTACATAAACTCACCTGAACCGGACCTTCAAAGTAATCAATAATACTCCAAATTATCCAGTCGCCATTTACCATGCTTCCAAAGTTATCAATATAATCCACAAGTTCCTAACGATATATCACGTCGCGGTCCATTTACTGTAGTGGGCATTGTCCTTTGTGCATTCCTTGTGTTCCTGGACCATTTGCATTGCAACTCCAGGTAACAGAGAGAACATAAAGTAGGGCTAAGCCTACATGTCTGATGCAGTAATTGTCTACTTTGCAGACAGACAATGCATTGGGTCTTGCAGAGGACTCTCCACAGGACAAAGAGTTCTGCTCATCTGCTTAGAAGACTCTTCTCCCAAAAGGAGTTACCTACTTTAACGCTTTATACCAAGGTAATGTGAA